ATGAATGTAAAACTAATGTTCTCCCATGTAAACTATCAAATAATTCACAATAAAACATTTAAAAAAGGTGTTACTACTTAGTATTATAACTTAGTAATATATATTTAACATGTATCCAATTATACATATATGTTGCTGTTAAGTGCCATCAGTCGGTTCCAACTTAAAGCAACCCTGTATGAGGTGTCTGAGAAGCAGCTGGTATGTTTGAACCGCCAACATTGAGACTGAAATCAACCTTGCGATCCAGTGCACTGTCCTGAAGTCCCAGTGTGGCGCTGTAGGATAAGCGATGGACCATAAGGTCAGTTTGAACATTAAGGTCGGCGGTTCAAACTCACCAGCTACACCTAGGAAACCCTATACTGGGTCATTATGAGTCAGAACCGACTCAATGGTCCTTTACAACTATTGTTGTTAAGTGCCGTTGAGTCGGTTCCGACCCATAGCAAACTTGTACAGGGTTTCTGAAGCTGTAAATCTTTTATGGGAGCAGAAAGCCTCATCTTTCTCCTGCGGAGCAGCTGGTAGTAGTTTCGAACTGCTGACCTTAAGGTTTGCAATCCAGTTTGTAACCACTATGCTACCAGAGCACCTTTACAACTATATATATCATATAAAATGAAGTCTTGATGTGATGCTGTAGGATGAAGTACTGCAACACAAAGTCAGTTTGAACCACAAGGTCGACAGTTCAGATTCACCAGCCTCTCCTTGGAAACCCTACACAGAGTTGCTCTGAGTTGGACTCTACTTGACAGCACTTAACAACACAATAATCAAATAATCATATATGACAATTTTAAAACTCTACACTTTTCCTCCCAAATAGTGAAATAACTTATCTTGACTGTCCAACACTATTAACATTAGAACTGCTTTTTTTTTTTTTAACTTATTGAAAAGGTAACTAAAAAAAATCTAGAACATTTTTAAAAAAAATTTATTTTTCTAAATGCAAATTCATCTAAGACTTCCATAAGCATCTCTTTTCATCCAAGATCTCTCAAATTTATAGCCTCCCAACATTAATCCTTATGTAATACTGGACAACCACCATCTGTGTCTGTGCTGGTCTTAACATGCATTGTAAAATAGAACCCTAAATACTCAAACACATTTCCCACAGTGAACTTTCAGACCTACTTTCAAATACATAAGCAGAGTCATATCCTGAGTTTCTCAGTGTTTATTGAATATGTGTTGTTGTTTTGTTTTTATTAAGCATGGAATATCTGTGCATTATTTTATTGACTTTTCACTAAGCATATTTAACTTTCATTACAATGTATTCATCAGTACAGATGGCATGATGGTATGTATGTCTGAGAGCCTCCTGGGTACAATATGCAAGTCCCAATTGGAGTATTTCCAAAAGGATGTAAGCTATAGTGCTCGAGTCTGTACTTTGAAAAACATTACTGAGCACACGGCCAACAAATGTCAACACAAAAATACAGTGCAGTAATGACTTCACTCCGTAAAAGAAATCAACTGGAACAGTTTTTCCTCAGGAAAGTAAAACACAGTAAAGCAGTATGTATAGCTCCAGTAAAAACAGCATTTATTCAATAGTGAATGAAAAAAACTCATCATCCAGATGAAATTTAAAATTTTAATAAAAATATTATGGTACATTAAAATTATACAGTGAATTCTTAAAATATATAGCCACTGTCCTAGAAAAGTTCCTGCAGAAATTTCCCCAGCTAGTGAGTTGGACATTTCAATAACTCTGCAGTTTCTTCAAACCTGAAATATAATAAAATATATATATATATAAAGAAAAAAAAATTATAATGGATGTGATGCAAGTTGTTGAAATTATGCTTTTAAACCTAAAATTTAACCCGAGTACTTGCTTATATATAGGTGCAGCTATTACTAATAAACTTAAGAACATAATGATTCACGTAGGAAAAATCACTAGAGCCAATTACAAGTCTTTAATTTTTAGAGTCTAAATTATTTCTGTATGCTTAAAATTTCAAAAGAATATTAAAATAATTTAAAAATAGTACGCCACATAAATAATAGTTTTTTTAAAAAATACCAGGTTACATAATAGCCTTATGCCATTTTCATTTTAAACTTCTTTTGACTTTCTCTTTTAAGAAATCTTATGTAATTATATAT